AGTGTTGGAAGAGAAATCCCGTTTAAGATTTACAGACTAACTTAGACATTACAAGTTCTACCCTGAGGCAGAAAAAGTCAAATGCAACATAGAATAGGAGGGAAATATACTTAATCCAACTCACTTCAAGAACCAAGCGGGCTTGGGGTCTTTGCACTGGTTTAAGCTGAAAGAGATATGTTTTTGCTGGAATCATGATTACTTTGACACAGCCAGTAATATTTGAATAAGGAGATATATATATATATATTTTTTTTTTTCCTGGTTAAGATACTAGCTTGAGTCTTGGGAGATCTTTGTCCAATACCAGATCTACCACAGAATGTAGGCGAGAGGGTGACAAGTCACTGAATTACCCTGTGCCTTACTTCCCCTGTTTGCAAACTGTGTCAAATATTCACCCTCTTCTGTTCTTTGTCTGCCTTGTGTGGTCAGTCTGTAAGCAATGCAGGGCACCACAATCATTTGCTAGGAATCTGCCTAGTGTTATTCACATAAAAGGACTAAGATAAATAGAAGCAGTGGCGGTGCATCACTTGTGGATGCAGAGAAGTCAGGTGCAGCATCCTAATTCACATACAAGTGGTAACAAACCAAAGATCTGCTTTATACCCCCAAACAGTGTGTTAGGGCTACAGAAATGCAGCTAGGTTTAAGCTCTCAACCAATAACTTCTTTGCTCTTCCCCTCACCCCCAACACACACTGTTCCAATTACTTGCAAAACCTCCTTGTTGTAATGCCACCCTTAGCCCCATCATATGGCCTTGACTGCTTTGCAACACAAATGAAAGACTCTTCAGGTCGCAGTAGGCCACACTCTTAAGCACAAAGGCTAAATAAACGGCCATTGTTAATGGGCCACCAAGATGAAAAGCACTTGATTGTTTTCATCAATTAAATCAACTCTCTAGATTTAGTGGCTATTAACCCTTTCAGCAAAGTCTTAAATATTTATCTGAACAGAGTGACTACAATTCTGTATTTTTACAGCAGCTCTCCTGGTATAGCAATGCTTCCCTGAAACATTGCTGAATGTGGCTTGCCCTTGTTTATCCTTACAGCTGAGCCATATACACTCTGGCTCAGCTGCTCCTGACAGCTGCAGTCAGTGTAATTCACTCTTGTATAATCTTCAGGGCTGTACGCTATTCTAAGGTTGTCCAACTGAAGTATTTAACTGGTACTAACACACAGGACTTTAACATACCTCTGCATTCAGGATCCCCCTCTCATGAAGTTTCATGAGCGCCAGGCGATGCTTCCGCCATGGGTGGTGGACATCCACAAACAATGCAGCTGGACTGCTCAGGAAAACAGTTTCTGTATTTGGAGCTAAGCATATCACCATGAATTTGGGTACACTGCCAGTAATAACCTCTCCTTTGTGTTTAGATAGGTCTGAGAGAATCCTTTCCCACATAAGCACTGCATTTTCTGAGTTTTCTGTATTCTGGTTTACTTCATTTACCCTAAGATGCCCAGCTGATAAAAATTATTTCATGCTAAAGGTAATTGGTTGTTTGGGTTTTTTTCCAGCATTCTTCATTAAACCTGTGATGCACTTCTTGTGGGTCCAGCTCTATAGATCTATTTAAACAGTCTTCTCACTGATGGCAAAAATTAGCTGTATTATAGAAGTATGTTCATCCTAGGGTGGAGGTAGTTAAGAATCCAACTTCTATTCATACATTATTTATCAGAAACTTCCATTCCATGCAGCTTCTAACTGCCCTGGAGTCTCCCTAGCAATACAGTCTTCACTGTGCCAGCAGATGAACAAGGAAGAGAATAATTGTATCTCTATAAAATATTGACCAGCTAAAATTCTTTCATTAGGACATTCCCTTTCAATTTCCTCATCTCAGTTTCAGGGCACTATTTGCCATTCCTTCCCATCCTTCACAAACAGATGAGGAAAGCACAAAGGCCAGGCTACTCTGGCGGCAGCATAATTTTTGTGGGTGTCTTTTTACGAGCTTGACTAACCAGTAGTGGTTGGTCCTGATCAAATTCAAGCCATTGATTTTAAATATTTGTGGATAATTCAGACCAAACACTTTTTTCCTGCCATGCAAACAAAATTTAAAAGTTTAATTCACATAGGCAACAGACATCTTATTTCTACAGACTCTAGGGACACATTGCACTATGTTTAGGCATATCTTAAGCAAGTTCTGAATAAAAGGTGAAGGATACATCCTTCAGGTTTCTATCCTAAAGCACCTTAAGGTTTCCTATTTTTTGAATGAAACTATTCCCAACCATGAAACATCAACCTTCCAATGCAAATGCACTTGTATTTTAGAGAAGTTCTGTAGCTTACGAAACATCTAACAAGTCTTTCCAATGTCTCAAACTCCTCGTACTCCTTCCATCACCCACAGCAATGCCTTCAGCTGTCCCACACCCTCTGCAGGGTCTGAGTTAGCTGATGTAATGCAGGCGCTGACCAGCCAGCAGGCTGCTGTCTAGCCAAATGGCCCAGGCTGAACCCCACCTGCTGGAGCAAAGCACCAGCTTTCACACCTTTTCTCAGCTACTGATTTTCATGCAACTTTTAGGGCCATCCTATTTGTGACACCTGTGCTCCACCATCACCTTTGACTGAAATTATCCATGGGCTTCAAAAGTTATAATGGCATAAGGGATGAAGAATGAGAAGGTGAGTAGGCAAAACAATTGCATGAGCCTTATTTCCTTAAGAAAGTGCATTAGTAAGTCAAAGAACATCTTTTTACTAATGCACATCTGAAAAAGCAAAGGCTCTTTTAACTGTTACCAGGTATAAATATTAAATTCTATATTTTTGGTGTGTATATTTTTAGAACCAGAGAATGAGGAACTATAATAAATTTAAAAACTCCTTTTCCATATGAACCAAACCCTTAAAGTGTATCTCAGCAGTTTCCCTTCAGTGCTTTTGTATTAGATTTTCTTTACACAGAGAAAATGCCTTTCTCACAAAAGGACCACCACACATTGCCCTTTTGAATTAGTTTACATATTTGAGCTTCATTCACCGTTTATCATGTTTAGCTTTATCACAAATTATTTGTAAATGCTGGACACTCAGCCCCATGTACATGCAAATTAACACTTAGAGTGCAATACATTGTCGGAGCTAATAGGTGCTGTGTCTCTACTGCATATTTCAAAAAGCATTAAAGTGTCGTCACCCTTGATCTGCTGTAAAAATGGAAGCTTCCTCCTTGGCTTTGAATTCATTTCTGTCTTCTAGATGGAGCACCAGAGCCTCAGTCAAGCTGGGGTGGTTCACTCTGTGTGCGGCCCTTTCTGTGGAAGACCCAGCATTCCCTGCTAGAACAGCTCTCGAGTCATGCAACACTGACAAAGCAGAGTTGAGCAACTTCATTTATTTTTCTCTGTTCAGCACAGACAGTAATGCTAATGCTGATGTCAATTTGTGGAACTAAGGGCAAGACCCAGCTATGTGTCTCAGTTACTGTGTATTTCTTAGGGGGTTAAAGTTTTTCTTACATCTGAAAATTGATAGTGGAAAAGTGTCAAACTGATAAATTGAGATTCTTCTGGGTCCATTCTGTGCTATGTCAAGACATGCCAATTTCCATGCTATTGGGACTAAGAAGACAAACCTTTTTTATTTAACTGGAAACATTTAGGCTGTTTCTACCCTGTCCTTTATACTGTGAAATATCACAGTATTTTTTTGATTAATTTTCACAACACTTTTCTGAACCCATTTTGTGAGCCCATTTACACGTACAACACTGAGATGTGGAGGGACTATGTGTCTTTTACAAGATTATGTATGACAAATTTTATTGCAAATAACATAAAATAAAAATACAAGAAAATAAAAATAACATTAATAATCTTGGATTTTTTGCTTCCAAGGCTAGCTCTCCAGTTTTGGACCAGCTTAATGATTTTAGTTGTTGATAACATAAATGAGAGAATTAAAGCTTTGAATTCTCATACCTATATTTAACCATTTTGTGTCTTTCTTGTTTCCAAAACTATCAGTCTCACTTTGCTATAGTTCTTCCTTAGGATCTCATGCATGTCAGAAACTGTGGGATCAAAAAAGTGTTTCAGATGTACACCAAAATGTCCTTAGCATTCAAAATTATTTCCAGATCTTGTGTTTCACAACAACTCTTTATAAACCAGTGTGTATTTACTTTGCTGGAAAGTTACCCAAATAAAAATATTGCATTTCCAGTTCTGGTCTCTGGGGATTTAATCCGCTGAGAAACTTAAGCAAATGTTCACTGATCGTGGGATAGTATTTCTATCAGATGCTAGCAGTATTTATTGCATAATTTTATGAATTTTGATTCATTTTTGTATAATTTGATGTTTATAAAGCATTGTTGCCTCCATTTTCACTAGGGGAGGCACAAAGATATCAAACCTCCAAACGTACGTTCCTATGGGACCTAAAATCTGTAAATAAACAAGCCAAAGTCTGAGCCGTAATCAACACATCTCTAGCAATGAAGAATGCTAATAATTTTTTTCTCAGAGGACTTAGAGACTAGCGAGTGTTTTCTAAACTTTGCAATCATCCTTAAGATTGATAGGCTTGGTGTTTCATGTTTTTATACTGGTTGGTTAAATACGTTAGGGACTCACAATGATTTTATAGGCTTAGTTTATTATGATTTTCAGTTTATTTGCAACCTTAGACTCCCTGCTTATAGAATCATAGAATCCCAGCCTGGGTTGTGTTGGAAGGGACCTTAAAATCATCTAGTTCCAGCCCCCTGCCATGGCCAGGGACACCTTCCACTAGACCGGGTTGCACAAAGCCCCGTCCCATCTGGCCTTGAACACTGCCAGGGATGGGGCATAGCATAAAGAACGTGAACACATGTGACAGCACCTGTAATACAGCATTTTTGAAATATCAGCATGCAATTCTGTGCATGGGCGGACATGGCCACAGTGTCTAACACAGGCAGTCTGGGCTGGGTTTTTTTCAGGAATCTCAGACCAGTACCAGTTCCTGATCCCTCAAGAAAAGGCTCCTTCGGGAAGTGCCTCTTGCCAGGGGTGAAAGTGGACACCAAGCGCTGCAGCTGTTCGGGCAGCCCCACGCCTTGTGTGCAGAAACCCGGCGTTTGACTCGCCGTGCCACGGGCATCCCCAGCTCTCAAAGCTTGCCGGTAACGCCTGGAGAAAGAATGCGGCAAGGTTAAAGCCATGCCGATACGGGTGGCGCTGAGGGGAATCCCCTCCCTTCCTCACAGGCCAGGGGCCCACGCGATAGCCCCGCTGGGCAGGCCGGTAGCCACTTCCCCACGGTGCTGCTGGGGCGGGCGGACCAGGTGCCGGTGAGTCCCCGGTGTCGGTATTGGTGCCTGTGGCAGAGGTAACAGTGCCACCTGGTGATGCTCGCCTCCTCCTCCGGCTCTTTACAACGGGTCTACCCGCGGAAATAACTCGCTCCAATCCCAGGGGGACGTAACTACGCAGCGTGTCAAAAGGTATGTCGTTCTGATTTAAGAAACGCAGGAAACTTATTAACGGCAAAAGCTCTATCCCGAGTGATGCCATCATGGATATACCCAGAGAAACATAATTGCTGCAATTCTGATTACAGGTTTGGTGTCTAAAACGTTTGATGCTCCAAAGCGCTGCAGGCTTCGCATTCCCACTGGATTCACATGGAGGGAGATTGTCTCTCACAGGAGGGATGCAGCACCTGGTAGGAAGTTCACGGTCCTGCACATGGCCTATCTCATTATCAGATCCATTAGTTAATATTCCAAATTTTCCCACATACCACCATGATGGTGGTTCTATTAAGAATATGTTGAAGCTTATTACAACATTATCTCTGCATATTAAATAAAATAAAATGTATTCTTTTTTCTTGTATTTAAAAAGAAAAAGGCAGCATCTCATGTTGAAAAGTAACTGACATAGTTGATTCCTGTTCAGCCCTTCTACCTTTCATATTCTTCTTTCATATTGTTTTAATCACTGTTATCAAATATCACACATTTTAGAAGTTTCTTTGGCTATTGATTGTGTATTTTTCTGACAAGCTCTGAACATATTCCCCATCTCAGAATCCAATTAGGTATTCAGAACACCCACAAAGGAAGTAAGTTAATCTGAGAGAACTGAAAAAGTGAATAATTAAAATAACTGAAATTAATCATTGTTAATAATACATTTACAGGAGTATTTAACAGGACTAATGCAAATTAATCATGTATGTTATATTTATACAAGCTTTCAAATAGGGATTTAAGTTTTTAGGATGATGCTGGGATTCTTCTTGCCAGTCAAAGTTCCTGCCAAAAATAATAATAAAAAAAAAACAAAAAAAACCAAAAAACAGAAACCCCAAACACCTTAGGAAAATCTCTTTTCCAAATACAGATTCTAGAACCAGTGGACAGGCTGCTTCATTCTTTGGTTTCTTCTATTTTGATTTTTAAATACCAGTTTTTTTCTTTCTTCCCAGGATATGGTAAGATAACTATGTAAACTAACTTCTCAGTAGGATGCTGGAGGTGAAGTTATTCCTAAAAGAGCACATGCTCAATATAGAGTCCTTTTGCAAAATGTGTCTATGCACCAATTCAGCTGGGAGCATGTGAGCCCATTTGTGGGTGTGTGCATGGTTATTCCTGTAGGCATAAATAGACATGGACATCTTCAACTCATAGAAGCAGGTCTGGTCTAAGATCATGGGTTTGAAAGACCTTCAAACAGGAAGGAGCCTTTTTTTCAAAACAGAGTGGAGTTAAAATTACAAGACACTACATGTTTACAGGAAGAATGCTGTTATTTGACTTCATGTTGGAGCTCAGCTTCTTCACTTTATCAAAGGAAAAGATAACCTCAGTCCCAGTTACTCATATAGCTGTTCATAGACAAAACCTTGACAATGACCTTTCTTCAGTCTACCATTTGATCATGGCATGACTCAAACCCAAAAGTCATTTTTTCTATCCCAATTTGTCCTTCCCTTTGTACATTCAGGACACTGAGAACAGTGCTGAGGAAGGATTGTATCTTCTCATGAGGAATATTTATTTTATTGCTAAAAAGTAAGCATTACACATCTTTTGACACTGGTAGGTTTTTTTGGCCTTGGCTTGTGTCTGATGATCCAATTCTTATGAATAGTCCTTTTCATTTGGGTGTTATAGTCACCCAATTATTTTTACTTCTACAGCTGTTCATATGCTGCTGTTTCTGCCCCTCTTTATCTCCTCATCTCTGATCTTTTCCCTCAACTCCATTCCTATCAGGTTAGTTTAAGTCGGTGAAGGATCAGAGATACAGGGTCACTTATAATATGGTTCTTTAGGCCTTAAAACTATAGATTCTTGCAATTTAGGGGAAAAAAAGTAAGTGAATAAGGCACCTCTTTCAGATAGAAATACCCCTTGTAAACAGTTTACTCATAAAGAGGAAGCTGATGTCATAGACTTGGGACTCCGGCCCTCTGGGAGTACACTGCCACGAAGAAAGAGCAGAGGATCCCAGCAAGATGCAGGCTTCTGATTTAGGGACCTAGCCCACAAGGAATGGAAAAAGTGATTTTGTTTTCTCTGTGTCACTTTGCCATTATATTGTCCTGTGTCCCTGTAATGACTCCATCCTCCAGGGAGTATTCTTCCCAGGAAGAATACCATTGGGCTCTTTTGTTCTCAGTTCTGGAACTTGGTTTCTGATAGTTATAGATGAAAAAGTAAGGATGGGGGCAGATGCTTATTGGGAAAGAACTGCATTCCCTTGCAGATTTGTCATTTATAATTATTTCCCTTTTCACTTAAACATGCTCACAAACACACAAACACCTAAACTGAACCTGATTCTTAGGTGGAAAGATGAAACATTAATTTCTTGGGTTATAAAAAGAAGTTGCCATATGTGCTCTCAGATGGGTTATGAATGATCTCACTATCAAGCACATGCAAAGGTAAAAACCCATTGCTCTAAATAGTGGATAGTCCTGCATTTTGCATATCACATAACTCCATGAGACCTGTCAGACTAAGACTTTTGAAAGTTTTATGACAAATGCTGATTCGCAGCTGTACTCTTCACAGTAATAATTTACCATGGACTTCCAATTCTCCCAAACCATTTGTTCCTTAAAAAAAGTTTACTTGAGATGTCTGTCCCTTTCTCAGTACCTATACACTCACAGTAACTAAAGATACTTGGTTGTACATTATTTCTACAAACTAGGTCAAAAAGAGATGCACAGAAGTATTTTTCTTTCCAAACCGTCATGCTAGACACTCCTCTTTTACGCTTGTGGAATATTCTCAACAATGCCTTATCCTAACTGGCTTGCCACCAGTCACACCATAAAGAGTTAACAAGCTCAGCCTAAACTAAGTGTGTCTTCCTGAGATGGTTATTCCACAAAATGAATTGGGATACATTGGACAAACAGTGCAAAGAAGCTAGTGATCTGTGGTTAAGATCAGTTAAGCACAAGGGTTTAGTGTTCAAGGACAGCTAACAATTCAAGAGGACAAACTGACATCATTTTAAGCGCAGTGCTAATGGTAGGCAACCATCAAAAAAAGGTCAGTTAGCATTAGCATCCAGAAAGCTTAGCAGCTTTGTTGAACAACTTTGGATTACAAAGCTTGTGTAATTTTTCTATGGGTGTTAGCACTTCCTGGCTTTGGTAAGGCAGGAAGTATTGCATAAACAACCCTTATCGTTATATCTTGGTGCTGCCAGTTCCAGTGCCAGCAAAAAACAAGAAGTCCCACTGAATTATAAATATAAATAAACACAAGACAGAATGTGTCTCTGAATATAAAGCATAAAATTATGATGGTTTAGATTTTTAAAAATTTACTTGCCTTATAAATATTTTTACAGAAAACGTGCAATAAATGTATGGACCTAGTGAAAAAAACAAACCTGAATTATGTACATCACAAGACATATATTAAGAAAAGTAGGTAGGGACTTATAATAGTAGGGTACTAATCGATCTCCCACCTGCGCTATCATTATTATTGGCTATATACTGACAATGCTTTGTATAAGATGTTTTATTTCTGCCTCCAAAAGTCTTACAATCTAAACTAACACAGACATGGAACAGGTAGGATAAACAGGGAAGGTAAAAGTAAGGAAAAATAGACAAAACCAGTCTACCTATATTCCATCAAACATCATTACCTTTTGTTGTAGATAAAAATTAATATCTCCATGTGATCATGACGGAAGTCCATGAGTGAAGGGAGAAAATGCTGACTCTGCAGCGTGCTTTCTTTCAGCAAAAAAATATTCCCAGGCATCTTCACAGGAGCAGATGCAGAGGGAATAGGATGAAATGGTGATCATTGTCAGTCGTGTTATCCTGACCACCCACTAGAAATTTTGAGTGTAATTCAATGTTAATGTGTAAGAAGTAAGTATGGTGGTCTGTCCATCACAATGGGAATCTTTCCGAACAGGGGCAATGCATCTACGCTTTCAAGGACAGAGAGAAACTTCTGTTCAAACCTAAGGTACTTTACTTTCTTTATAGCTTGCAACGGCACCTCAGTGGTGAAAAACCTTATAGTTTTGTGGTGTGGACCTCTCTTCACAGCCACAGAAGGCCCTTTTAACAGCATGTGAGCCTTCAGTTCTGAAGAGTACTTGGCTTTGACTTTGATCGAAGGCAAAATCCAGAGTAACTCAAAGCTAGTGTGTCTGCATCAGAACCTATAAGATAAATGACAATGAATGACACAAAGGGTGTAAATCTAGATCTGCTACCTCTTTGTTCAACCTGCAAAATATATGTTCTCGTGTTTTAGCTGGCCTTGGTTCACTTCCTTCTGCTAACAGCTTACAACACTCAGAAACTGCACTGACAATTTCACTTGTAAAGGACTTCCTGAAGGCCCCAGAGCAAAGTAAGCTATACCTGCTATATACATAGCTATACAGCTATGAAAGTAGGTACACATAATGATTTCTTACACAGGAGAGATCCAAATACAAGTTAACTAATGTAGGAAGAATCACAGCCATGAAATCCAGACTAACTTCTACACAGAGATAAAAGACAAATAACAACATCTGTGCCTTTCTGCAAAGTGGAAGAATTTGGGAGCAATGAGAGAGGAAGAGGTTACAAAACAGAGAAATTTTTCAGAGCAAATATATTATTGCATATATTGGAGCAAAATCCTTCAAAGTATTCCATAAGCAGCACAACTACCTAAGCTTAATTTCCTGTGCATCTGTGCCCTGGGAACCTCCCTTCACCAGCTACCCAGCTCCATATCCAATCTGTGCAATATCTGTGCAAGTCCTGTGATAAAGCCGATTCCAACTGTATCTCAACCACTCACATTCCCTGACATTATCTCCACAGCACTCATCTGCCTGCAACAACTGCTTCGGCCAGAGGCAGCATAACCAGTCATTGGTTTCTAGTCAGGGAAGTGCTTACTGGCCAGCCAGCATTTGCATGCTGACTGACTAGTAACAGGCTAAACAGGACTGATCACTGCCGAGCTCATCATGCAGCCTCTCCATTCCTGGGGGTACTGCTTGGTGTCTCTTTCCTGTTCTATTTGTGTTATTTTTTCAAAACCTGTTTTGAAAACATTAGGTGAATTAGGTCTTCCTAATTTCAAGTAATCTTCAATAATTTCAGCGCCAGCTTCAAGAATTATTAAGGGATACACACATAGTGCAACTGCAGAACTTTGTTTCCTGATGACACCCAAACCATTAGGCGTGTAAAGACTCTTCAGAGATTAAGTTGCTCACCAACATTGGTACCAAACACCAAGAATAATGGGATCAGTGGTGATCCTCTCAATTGTCCTTTGAGTTTGTGATAGGTCCATGGTAACACAGGCATAATATAAAACAATGGTAGTGTAACTTTACTGAACCTACTTATTAGAAGGGCCATGATGATTTTTCATATGTGAATAGTGTTACTATGAATTATTTTTAATGTAGTCAAGGACAGCTTTTTTTATAGAGCAATCTTATAACAATGAACCTGTGTTGCTACTTACCACCCATACTTTAATTCAGCGGAATAGCTTAGCCTCAGCATAACACAGCAACAAGTTGAACTGATGAAGTCAAGTTTCAGGAAAATTTATACTTTCTGAGCAAGTTAGTTTTAGCATCTCTCTGGATAGGACTTAGGATTTAGATCAGTGAATCTTTGCTAAATATGCCATTTGTTCTCATGTTTGCTGTGGTTTCTCCAAGCATTTGTTCCTCTGAGGAAAACCTCTGGGTGTCTCCATTGGTCACTCTACAGTAACTCTCTTTGACAGAGCAAATTGAGGAAAATCAGAAAAAGAGAAGCAGATCTATCTTTTTTCCTCTACTCTTTCCCAAGATTCCTAGCTGCAGTATCTTAGTTAGGTGTTTATAAAGGACGACTGGTTTCTCAGTATCTTAGTAAGATCTACAGTGACCGAAGACGAATAAACTGTAATCAAAGACAGGATGGAGTTATGATTATTTTCTAACACTAACATTTCACAAGAGGAAGATCATTCTATCTTACAGGTAGGATAGATTTGTTTTTTTGAAACAAAGAGCTGAAAAAAGTAAATGACAAGATGGGAATAATTAAGAAGCTCTTAAGAAACCTTTTGAGATAATAGAATACTAGGCTACAAATTCCGCGCTTTTGGAAAAGGCGGAAGAGCAAGTATTACAGCTTTTCAGAGGATATACAAGAAAAGCCTGCAGGGTGTCAATTTGTAAGGAAAGACGATAGTAAGCAACTTTTTATAGCAAGAACAGAGATGTGGCTGGACAAAAAATGTTCCCACACATCTTCACTTGCAAGAAACTTTTGAGTGCTGAAGACTAATGGCTAGGTTCTGATTTCACTGGAAACTCTGACGACTTTTTTTGTTCGCATTTCCATCAGAGAATCAGATGGAAGAAGAGAACCTGACAAAAAATTTACATTGATTGAGGTTTGTTCTGCACACTTTTGTACAATATAGACTATGGGGAAATTATTTAATTTTTTTTTTTGCCTTTAAGTAACAATACAGAAATATAGGGATTTCCTTCTAAAGGATACTGTGTCAGAAATGTCAGAGTAAGCCGAGCAGATTTACTGAATCTGTGTCACATTTACTTTTGTGAAATTGTGCTTAAGCTGCTAAAGATGCAGACATCAATAACCTCATAAACCAGAGAAACTATCAAGCAAAACAACATATCTTGTTATATGTTGTTATATAGAACATATATAATAGTTTAAATATTGTATAGAAAACAATAAAAATTGAAGCATTTCCTGTAGTTCACTTTGGTACTTAAGAGAATTCACTCAAGACAACAGTGGATATTCAGACTCAGTAGGAAGAAAGAAAACTGTCTTTACTGAAAATAATTTGTGACTAACTT